CATTAACTTGGAATTTGGGAAGGGATAGTTACAATAATTTGTGATCTATATGTTTATATACATTATATTTAACAAGAAAAGTTGAAATATTGAGATCTGAAAAATACTGAAACTTCCTTATCTTTTTTCTCCCCCTTTCTCATTATGGAGTATATTAACTACTAAAAAGCTAGATCTGGGTTAGATGTTGTATACAACTTACACTCAATATATCAAAAATTAAACTTAACCATCTTTTCTCCCTCCTTCCTTCCCTTCTCCTTCCCTCCTTCCCTTCCTTTTTTTAAGTTTCTTTCCTTGGTTACCTATGATTGGTTACCTACTGTTGGCAGGTACAATACTAGGGAATGGGTATGCAATCATGAGTAAGATAGTTACAATCCCTGCCCTCATGCAACTTACAAACTAACTAGTAGACATATTTAACAAATTTATTATTTTACAAATTTAACAAATTAATTACAGAAACAATTATATCAAAATAGAGTTGTTAAATGTGATGAAGGAAAGCTCAGAATTCAATACAAGTAAATAGTGTGCAGATAAGATGGAAACCTGATACAGTCTGGGGAGTGCCAACTCTGAGCTGAGACATGAAGGATGAAGTGGGGTGAGGAGGTTTCTAAGTAGAGCTAGCATAGTTATACTCAGATTGATGCATCTTTTTTATTTTATCTGTTTCTTTCTATACACAATCATCCTTCCAGTCACCCAGGCTTAAAATCTTCACATTATTTTTGACACTTTATTCGCTTTTGCCTCAACAAATAATCAGCTGCCTGCCCAATTTTCTTGATTCGGCATGTTCTTTCCTCTGTGCTCATGAATGCCTGAATTCCCATTCTCACTACAGTAGTTATGTCCTTCTTTACCATTTTCCTACAGCTGTATTTTTTCTTTCATTCAACACATATTTATGAGCACTTTTGTGTGCCTGGACTTTAGTTAGTTAGTGCCAGTATTACAGAATTGGACATGATAAACATGGTTGTCACAAAGCTTACAAATGGAATGCAGTGCTGTGGATCTGGTGCTGTGATCAAGTAGGGACGGTGTGCTAAGCCACAGGGAAGGCCTCCTCTGCCTAGAGGAGGAGTGATTTAGACTGAAGCCTGAAAGGTGAATAGGAGTAAGCCAGGTATAGGTGAGACAGTTGGATTGTATGAGGAATATCCAGTCAGAAGGGACAGCATATGCAAGAATCAGAAGGTGTGAGTAGGTGGAAAGTAATGATGTAATAGAAGTAAGCTGGTATCTATCATCCTAAATAATTTAGACTTTTGGGGCACCTGGGTGGCTCAGTTGGTTAAGCATCTGACTCTTGATTTTGGTTGAGGTCATGATCTCTGGGCCATGAGCTTAGGCCCCAAATTGGGCTCTGCACTCAGTGTGGAGTCTGCTTGGGATTCTCTCTCTCCCTCTCCTTCCTCCCTGCTCCACCCCCTGTGCACACGTATGCACGCTCTCTCCCCCTCTCTCTCAAATAAATGGTCTTTTAAAAAAATAATAATTTAGACTTTTTCATAAGAACCCTGGGAGCCACTGAAAGGTTCTACACAGGAGAGTTAAGGAAGCAGAAGCATTTGGGGACTAGAGTAAAGGAGGATGCTAAAATAAGATGTAAGAAAAGGAAAAGGTTCGGTGAGGAAGATGATGAATTTGTTTTGTTTTGTTGTGATTTCTCCTAACTGGCCTTCTTACCTTCAGTATCTTCCCCTTCCATAGCATCCAGTCATCTCGTGTGATGCTGCCAGATTAACTCCCAGGAACACACTTCTGACCTCAATTTAAAGAAGTTTAATGATATATTTGGTCATGGAATAAAATCTGAATTCCTCACCCTTTTATTTAAAGCTTACAATGAACTGGTCCCACATCTGTTTTAAAGCTTGGGTGGCTCAGTCGTTAAGCGTCTGCCATCGGCTCAGGTCATGATCCCAGGGTCCTGGGATCAAGCCCCACATCAGGCTTCCTGCTCAGCCAGAAGCCTTCTTCTCCCTCTCCCTCTGCCCCTGCTTGTGTTCTCTCTCTTGCTGTGTCTCTCTCTGTCAAATAAATAAATAAAGTCTTTAAAGCTTGGTTTTTAGTACTCCCCTTTATGTCTTCCTGTCCATAACCATGCACTCCACACTCTTGAAGCTTTCCCACAACCAAGCCTTTGTCCCAGGCTCCCTCCCCCCTTCCTGTTTGCTTACATACTTAAACCCTGTCCTCCTCCAGGTCCTTACTCAGATGTGAACCCTCCTACGATAACTTCGCTTGTTTCCACTGAGAGTAATTCCTCTTTTCTCTGAATCCTCAGTATGATTCAGTTCACAGTATGATAGCATTTGTCACCTCCCCCATGTGATAGAACTATTTAGAGAGGCAAGACATGAACTTGGGAACTCAACTGCCTGGATTCAGATCCTAGCCCTGACATTTCCTGGCTGTGTGATGCTGAGCACATCTCCTAAATTCTCTGTGTGTCATTCCTCCATTGCAAAATAAACAGTCCTACTGTATAAGGTACTGTGGGGATTAAATAAGTAAATACTGTAAAAATGCTTAATTTTGTGTCTAGCAATAGTACTATATAAATATTTGGTATGATCATGCCATTATTTTTATCATGTACATGGAGCATCCTCTCTTCTAAACTATAACTTGAGGACCTAATCCACATCTGATTTATTATAATGGCTTCTAAATTGCAGACTAAATAAATAGTGAATGAGTGAATCAGAATCACAATGATTAGTGAATCCTAATTGGACTTTTCACATAGTTTATTTTGAAGATAACATTTATTTCTGACCGACTCATTTACAGTAACAAGCCCTCAAATTCTTCATTTGTGAAATAAAAGTTTGAAGCTATAACAGTAGTTCCTGAACAATTCAAGAGCAGTTCTTTTCTCCAAATATTCAGACTTCTGTCTTACATTCTTCACCTTTGCTTACTCATGCCCTTAATCATTGTTCGGTGTGCAATGGAAAACTTTGTATAGTAAGTCACAGGATTTTGTAGATTCCAGGAATCCACTGTGCTAGAATAAACTCTAAAGTCATTTCTAGTGGAAATATTTGAGATTTTTGTATATTCTAGACTTTAGGTCTCTCTCTCACTAGTTTCTAATCTGTCATTTCTCTCTGCCATGAGAAGGAACACATATCCCCTAACCTCTTAATCTTCTACCAAGTTTTCTCCATTTGTTTTTTTTCCCCTAAATTTTCCCTTCTTCCTTCAGCTCAGATTCCTTACTAAACAATACAGCTTATTTTGCAGAACTTATAATTACTGCTGGACTCTTGGGTAAAGGGACTGTTTCTAAAATATATGAGCTAGGGGTGCCTAGGTGGCTCAATCGTTTAGCGTCTGCCTTCAGCTCAGGTCATGATCCCGGGGTTCTGGGATCGAGCCCCATGTTGGGCTCTCTGCTCAGTGGGAAGCCTGCTTCTCCCTCTCCCACCCCCCCTGCTTGTGTTCCCTCTCTCGCTGTCTCTTTCTGTCAAAATAAATAAATAAAATCTTTAAAATAAATAAATAAATAAATAAATAAATAAATAAATAAATAAATAAAATACATGAACTAAAACCTAGAACACACATTTACAGAATTTAACTTATTTTGTGAAAATAGCAAATAAAGGAAATGTTTTTGTATCAATTCTTGGATAACTCCAAGCACTTTCCTGGTAGAATGAATTTTAAAATCACATCTTTATCTGCATCTTTCAGCATAGACCTAATGAATTAGAAAATTAAGGACAAATACTACATATACATAAAGCAACATTATCTCCTGGCCACACCTATTTTTTACCTTCCTTTGATTTCTTCTTAATACCAGGCTTATTTCCACTCCTTGAGAATTTAATTCTAATGGTATTGAAAGTACCTAGTTTAATATCTTTATAAGGTAGAACTATTTGAGAAATACCATCAGAGAGTTGTCGGTAATGTCATTCCTGGCCCTGTTGGAGAGTAGGGCCCCACTGGTAAGATATCAGCAAGAAAATGTCAGCACCCACCCCATGTCACCCAGCTATGCTTTATGCTTCCCAATATTTATATCTTTGGGATTTAAAAAAAAAAAAAAAAACCTAAAATAACACTCAGAGTTTTAGGAGTGAGTATATTTTTCTGTTATGATGACCTTCTTTTCAGAAAAATCAGTTCAGGCCTGCCACTCCAGCATAAGAGTAAAAGTTTACATTCTTCAACAACACTTATTCTTTAGATTTCTTGAGCAGGGCCAAACCTATTCCTGTTCTATGAGGGCTTGCTCAAAACCACCAGTAGCATATGAAAGGTAACACATACATTGCCTTGCACATGCCTTTTGACTGCCCCCACCCCCACCCAGAATTGACCACTTGTTCCTTGTGTCCCAACAAACCTGCCAGATGTTTATCACAGCACCTTTGCTACGTTAATGCAATTCCTCATTTACAGGTCTCTCTTCTCTTTCTTATTGGCCTTGTATCTACAGCATCTAGTATAGTATCTGGCTCATAGTAAATGTTTAATTAATATTTGCTCAGTGAGAACTCTGGAGTGAGAAGAGTTAGTGAGGCGACTGAGCCAGGTACTAAGTGGTAGATTGACTGGGGAGTACGATACAGGATAATCCTCTCACGGCTGGTTCAGACAGGGGAAAAGTACTGCTGGAAGTATGGAGGTGGGAATCAGCAAAGCTCCAGTGGAGTATGACAATGGAAGACAGCCTGGCTGGCCCATCTGGGGAAATAAAGAGAGTTAAGTTTGAATGTGCCAAAGGCTTAGAGACAATTGATAGAAACTCCTGAGAGTCAGAATTAAAGAACTTAGGTTTGATTTGAAAGCAATAGGAAGACTGTAGTCTTTTGATTTGGACCATGAATGATGAAAATAATATTTTAAAGTGTTATTTAAAAGGATGTGTGCTTATGTCAAAATTCATATGTGAAATATTGATTTTAGTCTGTGGGTCATCAGTTGATCCTGAAGGTCTCTTTCTTTCTGTTCTTATCCCACAGGTTGTTATTTTGTACTTTGAGCCAAGCACATTTCGCTGTATTCTCCTCAGATGGGTCCGTCTTCTCGGTTTTGCTACTGTTTATGGAACTGTCACTCTCAAGCTTCACAGGTATATTGTATTTCACTAGTTTTCATTCCCATGAGAGGATCAAAGTGTTTGTCTTAGCATGTAATTGCAAGCTGGGTCAGCCGCTTAAATGGTTTAATTTCAAGAATTTAGACAGCAAGACAGTACACTTTTTTTTTTTCATTTTCAAGGCAATATCATTAGGATTCTCTAGGAAAATCTTTAAAACAACTGAATTTGAACAACATATTTCAATAAAATGTGCCATTGGGTATGGAAAATTTAATTCTGAATAAAAAAATAGTTTAGAATGAATTCAAGAGAGTATTTACTAGCTAAGAACAGGAAAGAATACAAAGATGATACAACTAAAGATCCAGGTCCAGAGCTCCCAAAGAATCCTTATATAGTAGAATTCAGCAGTCCGCTGACTTGACAGAGACTACTGTTCTTCATTCATGAATTACATGCCCCAGGGTAATCCTGCTGATAGTCAATGGGTGAAGTTCAAAAAAATAGTGTTCTTGACTTTCCTCCTTAACCAGTGTGCTCTAGTGATTATCAGCCTTGTAAATTAGATAATGGGGTAAATGCTCTTATACTTTCAAAACCACCTACTTTTCTTAATGTATATGATAAGTATGCGGAACAAAAAGGCATATAGTACATTACCTATCCACAAAGGGCTTTCCTTTGCCTCCTCTTTCCAAAACTCTCTCAATGCAGTGATGCCAAAGACCACTGGAGAGAGAATGTAATTTCTCCCTCATGATAAAACTGCAGCTCTATAGAGGAAACCCTTTATGCTGATTAGCTTTAAAGTTGTTTTTAAACATAGTAAACCATTCATATTCCCATGCTAATATGATCATAAGTGTTTCTCAATAAAAGTATTTTAATATGGCTTAGACAACAGTTTATCTTAGAGCCATAATATGTGTTATATTTGTCCTTAAATATTCTCCTTTCAATCTTTCTTAAAATGTGATCATTTTACTGTCTACTACACAAGAATCTTGATTTCTTTTTTGGGGTTCTTGTTTTGTTTGTTTTGTTTCATTGGTACTTACTTACTGGGAATGCTCCAGAGTATCTTTTTGGAATAAACATAAATATCCTTACCTCTCAAGATTCCTTTCTTACATATGTCCTATAGTACAAAGAACATTGGACTGGATGTCAGGAGATCCAACTTAAATCTCATTTCAGCCTCTAACTCTAGGAAATCATAGGCTTCTATATCCTATAAAAGGAAAAGATTAGACCAATCTCTAATGTTCTTCCTGACATTCATTTTATTCTGTCCACATCACAGCACACTTTGCTATTATGTCTTTGTAGTCTTCAAGTATCTTCCCGTTTCCATTCCTTATACAATAGCTATTTTCAACTGATGCTCACCAAAGGAAATGAGTAATCACTGGCAGCCTATAACAGACAATAAGCCTTCTAGAATCCCTGAGAGAATGGGTGACCTCTTGAAATTTAAAAAATGATCCCTCTCCCTATGAGTCTAGCACTTAGCATCTCTTGGGTCCTCTATTACATAACACAGTTTGTTTATTTAATTATCTTCTTCTTTTTTTACCTAATTTACTTTCTCTTTGAAGTGAGGGTCTTACCATTGAATCCCCAGCCCTTAGCACAATGACTGATACATGGTAGGTGTTTAGTACATATTAGTTGATGATTGAATGAATAAAAATGTCAGATACAGACTTAGAAGCTGTTTCCAACAGTTCTCTCCACACATAATGCATTCACAGTCCCCTGACTCACTGGATGTCCCCACATTTCTAGAACATATAACTCTGTGGTCTGCAAGAAGCTGTTTGGTGGGATGCAAACACAGTATTAAATAACACTGAATCATGTCATGAGAAAATTACTTCCATTCAGAAGCTCTTTCCATCCTGATTATTTCCAAGAGAAAAATTAGTGTGGAACTAGTAGGTCTCTAACACCTGCCAAACACTTGCTAATCTCCCCTTGCAACAAAGAGCAGATCAAGCTTCAGGCTAGAACTTTCCATTGCAATGCTACCTTGATAGAACTTAATGACCATCTCACTGTATTTCTATAGTTACTTTCTATTTCTGTATTATCAGTTTTTCATTTAAAGTAGCAATATAAAGTTTCCTTTAAAATGTTTTAAATAGAAATTGATTTAAAGAACATATAGCTAGTACACAGACATAGGCAGAAATCTTGACTGTGGTATGCAAATGATTGGAATTTGAGAAACTAGTCCATCATTCTTTAGTTTATTTCAAAGACTGGACTTAAAGCTATTTTCTATGTCTTTAGAAGTCAATGTAGTAAAGAGTTACCACTGAAGGTTTAAATCAAGTAGAAACTGTTTCTAACTTAATGAGCTGAATTTTTCTTATCCTGTCTGAACCATATGGCTTTATATTATATTATGTTTTTTCATATTGCTTAAATTTAACCGATTCCAATATTGTTTCAGTCTATAAAACTGAACAATTAGCATCCCAGAGGAATGTGAATAACCCACTGGAAGTGACTGGCTGAATGTTTCTTGTTCCCCATTCTTAGTTGTGCATGTGCCTGTATTTATATATTTAGGTATTTGTTAAGTGAATGAATGGGTGGATGGTTATGGTGAATGCAGCTGCCATGGGTGTCTTTGGTTGGTATCTTTTAGATTCAAGTAACATGTAGACTTCTAAGATTTGGTAGTAACATGATAAAGAGGAAAGACATAAAGGGGCGCCTGGGTGGCTCGGTTGATTGAGCATCTGCCTTCGGCTCAGGTCATGATCTCAGGGTCCTGGAATCAAGCCCTGTGTTGGGCTCCTTCCTCAACAGGTATTCTGCTTCTCCCTCTCCTCCCTGAGCTTGTGTGCTCTTGCTTACTGTCTCTCTCTCTCTCTCTCTCTCTCTCAAATAAGTAAATAAAAAACAACCTTTAGGGCACCTGGGTGGCTCAGTTGGTTAAGTGACTGCCTTCGGCTCAGGTCATGATCCTGGAGTCCCGGGATCTAGTCCCACATCAGGCTCCCTGCTCGGTAGGGGGTCTGCTTCTCCCTCTGGCCCTCCCCCGTCTCATGCTCTCTCTCTCTCATTCTCTCTGTCTCAAATAAATAAATGAAATCTTTAAAAAAAAAAAAAAAAAAAAACAACCTTTAAAAAAATTTAAAAAGAGGAAAGGCATAAATCCTAACAAATCCAAATTCAAATTTCAGTTCTGCCGTTAACTATTTATACAACCAAGAATAAATTATTTTAACATCTGAAAATCAGTTTTCTCACCTCACCTGTAAAGTTGTTGTAAAGGCTAAACATGACTGGAATATGTGTAAATATATCAAGGGAATGGGGTTACTATGGCTGAATTAAGCAATAAGGAAATTCATTGGAAAAATATGGAGAAAGGCATGGAACTAGGCTTGACCCAAGATAGATTGAGGGATCAAGATATCATGGTGAATGCCATATATCATTTTCATAGGAACTTCATTTTTTTATCTCCAGATTTTTTTCAAAAAGTAAATCCTACCTCTCTAGGCAGAAAATTCTAAGGAATTTATCAGTACAGATACATAAAGTGACTGTTAACGTCCCTTGAGAATAGGATGGCAAGAAAGACCTGAGTTTTTGTTTTATTTCCCTTACTTCCCTCAAGGCTTAGTAAAATTATGGAACATTTCTTTCTCCATCTCCTGGTTTCTCACTGATTGATGGTAGTGTTTACAGAATTCCAGTAGCCCTGAAAACTTGGCGCAAATATGAAAAAGGAACAGGATCTCACGCTGTCACAGAAATGATACTATTAGCCTGGGAGGGATCTTAAAGGTTTCATTCACTTTTACCAAATCTTCCACTTTTTAATTTAGTGGTCTCTCCCTGTATTTGAGAATTATACAGAGACTACCATGCCAATCCAAAGGAAAATTGCAAAAGAGTCTTTTGTTTATTAACAGTGCAATATAGGGGTGTAACAAGTTGGGGGCAGGGTGAGTGGTTTGCCTCTTCACAGAGGAGTCTTTTATCACTGACGTTTAGAATCACTATCACAGGATGGTGATAAAAAGCAGACCAACTTTCAGTAGTCTTTATTATTGCCCTAAATTCTCTACAGGCAAATGGGTCCCTTTGTTACCTATACCCTAGGGCAAGCCAGTCCCACTGCCCCACCTCATTGGCAGGCCATTCATGCACTGCAATTTATTTGAACCTGAAACTGTTTTTCCTTTTTGGAGAAAGAAGGAAGAATGGTACAGGTTTTAGCTCTCTTAATATGGATCAAAGAGAAAATAAAGCTGAAGTAGGAAAAATGAAGAAGTTTATTTGTAAAGAGTTTGCTTCAGTAACCATACAGAAGTTTGACTTGGGACACGAATGATACAGGACAGATCTAAAAGAACATCTAGTTCTTTGTGTGGTTGTGTGGGCTCACAGAATACTTGCTAAGCTAGTTTTGTTTGTTTTAAGAAAATTGGTAAGGCAATATCTCAAGGTTCAGAAAAGCCCAGTATATTTTCAGGAGGCAAAATGAGGAAATGTTTTAAATGAAAGGGGGTGGAGAGAGATTAAGAAACTTAATGCTAAAAGAACATTTTCCTATTCCCCGTAATATGGTTTCTGAAAACAAATGGCCTTTTTCCTTTTTCCAAGGCTAATCAAGAAAAAAACAAAAGACTTTTTTGTACTATATTTTAAATGAATATTTAAGCAAGCTGTGAAAAAGCCTTCTTCTGGCTCTGGACTGGGGATTTTCATTTCATACATTATTCAGTACTCCTTGCTCTAGATACAACACAATACATAGCAGTTTTCTCTACTGTGCCCATTAACACCAAATATTTACACTTTGTGGGAAGGTTTTGTGTTTTATTTTTTTTTTTTTTTTGGTTGTTTCCTCCTAAATTTTAAAAAGTGACTGGAAGTTACCTATATTTATTTATTTTATCTATTCTTTATAAGGATACATAAAATACAGTAAGATACCTTAAATTTTTGAAAGAACAAAAGAAAAGCAAGTTAGGACTGTCTAGAGAAGCCAAGAACTCATAACA